TATTCTAACAAAATATTGTTCATTGTAAACATACGATGATCATTCTTATTCCACTTGGATTTCTCCAAAGTGGTCATAATATAAGCATCATCTATAATTTCCCATAAATCAAAGTGTTTAGATTGAACAAAAAGTTTAAATCTAACACACCATTGGGCATATGGGAAATTATCTAATCTAGGAGCAATATTGATGGCATAACCTAAACCATGCATATCCATAATATAAAAGGCAAGCAAGATACAAATAAAGCTCAAAATTAGATTAGCATAATAAGAAAACTTGGATCTTTAACTCAAGGCGATTAGACCTTAAATCAAAAAGCACCAAGCTCTGATACCAATTGTTGAAATACAACATGATATGTGAACTAGGATAAGCAATATGAACAACAAGATATATCCTAACAAAGAGATATTTGCAATGTATATGCAAGGATATGTAAACTAACACAAGGGTAAATAAAATAAACTAGATAGTGGATGAAATAAATGAGCAATGCACAATTGGCTATATAAGATAAATGCAAAAGACGCCAAAGCATACTCAAACACACTATATGATCACGGAGTTCGGACCTTCCGTCCTACGTCTCCGCTCCCCACTCCCGGGGAGAAATCCACTAACACAATCCGGTTTGGAAGCCGGAACTTCTTCTACACACTCGGTTTTCTAGCTAACCGAAAACTCTACAACTCACACTCTTGCAATCACACTCTACACCCACTAAGTGTTGGACCTAGCCGTGTCTCCCTCAAGTGCTCGGTTACAACCTCTCCCTAGGCTCGTCAACCGACGTCAACGATCCCCGACTCTCACCACACACTCCTCTCGGTGTACAAGTGTATTACAAAGTGATTCTCACGATTAGGCTCAAAATAATAAGTGATTGTTCTCTAATATGAATGAGAACACAATGAAAGCTCACACTCAAAGTTACAACTCTCACCAACCCAAATATATTATGAATGCAAATACAATAAGCTCAAGGTGGGTGGGTGTAACAATGAGTAAATCTCAAATATAAAATCTAGCTTAAGAACAATGATAATCAAACAAGTATATAAATGTAAAGCTAGAGTTTGAGTTTAGAAAACTTCTCAATTGATAACAAGAGATGGAGATGGATTGAATGCCCAAAATACAATTGATAATCTCCTCAAGCTCTTGTAAAACTGATTCACCAAATCGAAAACACTCAAATGCTTATAAACACACTTAAACCAACTTAAATCCTTGATTAAAACTCTTTAAAACATTTCTTGCTTGTCTTATAAAACTGAGGTAATGGGGTATATATATGAAACCCCAAAGGTAAGATAAAGACAAGAAAAAGACCAAAAAACCATTCTGCAACGGCTCTAAAAATAGCCGTTGAAACTGAGTTGACAGTGCGGCGGTCGACCGCTGCGGTCGACCAAACCAAACTACTGCTCTGGACAAGCGGCGGTCGACCGCGGCGGTCGACCGCGAATGTCTCTGGACTTGCTACGGGTTGACCGCCACGGTGACGCGAGCCATAAAACTTAACCTGACGTTTCTGACACTGGCGGTCGACCGTGGTCTGATACTACAGAAAAACAATATTGAAAACAGATTTTTGAGACTTTTGGAAAATTGTTAAAAATAACAAATGAAGTCCAAAAAATAATAAAACTTTGGAAAATGTATATAAATATATAAATGAACATGTTACAAAAAGAATTTTCCAAATTGCATTTTTCATTTGTGAAAAATCATCATTTTGCAAAAATAGTCCAAAACACGAAAATATAAACATGTGAATTTTGACATTTAGGCTAAACCATGTTTTAAAACTTTGCACAATGATTTTGTAGACTTAATAAAATATGTATATGATTATTGTTAAGTCCAAAAACTAGGAATACAGAATTTTCACAAAAATTGCATATTCTATGCAATATATACTAAAACACAATAATAAATATGAAACATGTGATTTCATATTTATAAACATGAAAACTCAAAAACACATGTATGTATATATATAACTATATATAAAAACCCAAAACCATGCATGTATATATATAACTATATATATGCATAGAAACCAAAACTTATGTATATATATATATATATATATATATACGAAGAAACCAATAAATGTGTGTGTATGATATTGAGCTTAGAGTATATAACACACATAATATAAGCCCTAAATTAATTTACCCAAGCTGATCTTGATCTTCAATATGCTTGACTTGGTGATCTTGCGGATGAAGCTTGAACTTAATCTTTAACTTTGAATTGCAATGCTTCACTCCACTATTCCGCCAACCTCCATTGGATATCATCGTTGAAGCTCTATTCCATCCATCCTCCAACTACGTTGTTTGTCTATAATAAATAAGAAAACATAAATACTAGACAAACAACATTAGTGGTAAATTGTTTGTTAAACATCATCAAAACAAGAAGGCCAACAGTAGCGTCAGAATCAAGCATCCAATCTGATGCATCCAAGTGATTCACCTCCGGAGTAATCAATAGAGAAAAGCTCGAATCATCAGAATCATCGCCTTTCGTAACATTCACCTCATTGGCTTTCGGGCACTTCTTCTTGCTATTCTCCTTCTCCTTGATTTTTGGGCAATTTCTCTTCTAATGTCCCTGCGCCTTACAGAATGCATATTGGGTTTTTCCTAGCTAGTGACAACCTATTGACTTTGACCTTCTCTATTACCACCTTTTGGATATGGGCTTCTACCTCTCGTCGACAAGGCCTCTCCTGAAGTACTAGCGCGGGAAGTCTGTTTGTTCTTCCTCCTCAAATCATAGTTTGTCAAAGCATTAGTAACTTTACTATAGCTTATAGTAGACCTTCCATTCAACAAAGTGAGCATGATGTATCATACTCCTCATCCGGTAAGGAGTCCAACAAAATAATCGCCTTGTACTCATCCGATATCTTCTCATCAATATTCGCCAAGTCCAACAATAACTTAGTGTAGTTGTTCACATGAGCCACTAGTGGGGCCTCAGGACATCTGAAATCTGAACAATCTTTGTAGAAAGTATTAACAGTTCTCAACACTCTTCGTAAGATACTTATTGTTAAGAATTTACCACATCTTCATTGCAGACGTCATCCCAATCACATCATACTTTAATTCCTATTCCAAACAGGATCTGATCACCCCACAAGCGTTCTTATTCATCTTTTCTCATATCGCCTCTTCATATTTTGGTGGTCTCTCTTGGACCATAATGGTCTCCTCCAAATTTTGAGCATTGAACGCATCTTGAACGTCGTTCATCCACAAACCAAAGTTAATCTTATCGTCATATTTTACCATAATAATTTTGGTGTTCTGAAAACCAACTTGGACTGTACTCGCCATCTTGCTGCTTTCACCAACTTCTTTACCCATACTCGCAAACTCCAAATTGTAAAAAAATATTCAAGGGAGATCTCCAACGACAACTTCAAATCCTTTCTCCACCGAAGCCTAAAACTATAAGAACCAAACTTTCAAGATGAATCTTTCTCTACCTAATGCCAAAACCCTAGATCTGAAATCTGAGCTCTGATACTAATTGTCACGTGCTTATGCGGAAGCGTGCTCGCTCACTAAACAAGTCGTAAGCATGGGAGAAGAATAACCAATCACACACGAACACAATCCAAAACTAAAATACGACAAATCAATCACAAACACAGAGATATACATGGTTTGGTAATTTACCTACGTCTACGGGGAGAGGATAGAGAGATTCTACTAAATGAAGGAGAGTACAAAGGGTTACAATCTCACAAAACTTACAAACTAACCCTCAACCAAAGCTCTCAACTTGATCACAATATCTCCCTCTCACAATGCTCAAAAAAGTCTCTCTAATCTCTGATTACAACTCTCCTCTTTTTGATGATCCTAATCTCTTCTAAGGTGTTCCATATATATAGAAAATCTAAAACCAAAACAGACTAGGAATTCTAAAACAAAAAACAAAACAAATTAGGAATCCTAATAATCTGTAACCAAAATAGATTAAGAATCATGTTACCAAAATAGATTAGAAATCCTAATAACCTATTACCAAAACATATTAGGAACCTACTATCCAACAAGACCATATATATCAGGTAGCGTTTTTTTGTGGAATAAATTTCAACAAATTGCCCCTAAGTTCGAGTGTTCCTAATGACCCCATTAACTTTCAAACTGTTGCAAAATCCTCCTTAAGTATTTGAGTTCTTAGGAAACCCCCTTCAACACTCAACATCTTTCGGAAACAAATCCTAACTACATTAACTGTTGTTTTCACATGGATGAATATTATTATGCCAAAAAATATTTTTATCGATGTTCAAACTTTTCGGAGGTTTTTTTTAAAAACAGTAAGAGTTGAAGGGAATCTTCTAAGAAAACCGTAGAGCGTTTTTCCGAAATGCACGCTTACAAATGGGTTCATGATCCACCTTGATCAAAGTGGGGCCACATGACCCCACTTTCATCAAGGTGGATCCCCCATTGTATAAAGAGGCATCAACCTGTGTAAGGTGGCAAATGCCTTTGATAATAACTTTCACTCCTTAAACTTTAGGCAATGTTTTCTATTTCTCAGTTAAATTGAGATGCATGCTTTTACTCTGTAAGCTTTAGACAATGTTATTTTTGTATTAAATTGAGATGTCACTTGAGAATCACAACGCAATAAATTATAACTTTATACCCTTAGAAGAAGAAGAAGAAAAAATACTCCTTTTAAGTTAAAACCGAAGAAAAATTAAGTAATGTCGTCAGAGGTTGTTGTGATTAAATTTGTAACGCAATTGTTTAGAAAGTGTATGGCGTTACTCTCCCACAGTTAGGAGTTGCGCAATTAACTGTGTTTTAAATTTAATCCCTAGTATTATAAGCGTAGAATGCACTAAACTAGAGGACCCTACTGATTTCTATAAAAGATTCTAGCTAGCTTTCCCATTGAGCATATCTTCGTGCGTACATAGAGCATTAGTTCCTTGCAGGTATCTCTTAGGGTTGCCGATATAAGTATGTGTCGAGGGGATCCTTCAACTCTCACCTAGTGTTTAGTTCTCTCTTATTGGCAAAGGCTAGCTCTCTCAACTGAGAGCTGCCATTTGCCACCTAACATATAGTATTCATATCTAGAGAGAGAAATTAAGGGGATCGAGTAAACATGGCTGGCCCCAAGCAAGTGTTGAATATCGTGAAGCCATACTTGGCTATGATCTTCTTGCAATTTGGTTATGCTGGTATGTACGTCATATCGGTGGCGTCCCTCAAGCAAGGGATGAACCATTACGTGCTCGTTGTGTATCGTAACATTGTGGCCGCAGCTGTCATGGCGCCATTCGCGTTGTGGTTTGAGAGGTCGATTTTTCTTCTTCTTCTTCTGATTACTTTCTTTCTTCTCTTTTCCTTTCCTTCTCACTGCGTGCACATACAAATGCAGAGGTTGTTTGAAGGTCGACCTTCTTTTTGTCGAAGGATCGAGTTTTAAGCTAGTTTTCCTATTTAAGCATGATTAGTAACATTCCGAATGAGCTCCCTTTAAGTCTTATTTTAAAAAGTTAGGATTCTTCGACTTAATTTTTATAAAGAGCTAGCTTATAAGCTCACTTAGAGAAGACAGACTTGACCAAACAAGTTACCATGCGCATATAATTTTTAATAGCTTGTTTATCATGAAAGCCAAATGCCATTAAAAAAACAAACATAGATTATAAACTTCTGAATATAAGTCTCCCCCAGTACAACTCGTCTGCCTACAGCTCTATTTTATGTCAACCAGCGAGAAACAGAGACCTTGTCAACCATCAAACCTCAATTTTTGCTAGGTATCCATGCAAATAATATATTCTGCTAGAATAATCTAAAAAAAAAAAACTTGAATTGTGTTTTATTGGTCCAGGCAATATTCGTGGGTCCTTCATATAACATCATGTTTCATGGATTCATATCATATACTGTATACTAATCATTAAGTGATCATCACTAGACAGAATTTAGTATAGAATTTATGTTATACGCACTCAAAATCCACGGAATAATAGTGATCTGTAGAGAGTTGTAGCTTATGTTCTATTTATTAAGATAGCATGTCAAACTAAATTCTGTAATTGACGCTGTAGTAGAATTTAGTACCCTTTCCATTTTGGTATCAAGAATCAATACCCAAAAACTAACGTAGACGTTTGCTTTCTTATTGTTCTTTTGCAGCAAGAAAGTGAGACCTAAGATGACTCTCCGAATTTTCCTCAAAATAATGGCGCTTGCTCTACTTGAGTACTTTTCCTACTACTTCAGCTCGATTACTTAAAAATCTTTGATTGACTTAAAACTGATCTTCTTCAACTTTACTAAATGCATTGGTAATTATATATTGTGTAATTTAATTAGGCCGGTGCTTGATCAAAACTTGTACTACATGGGAGCCAAAGCAACATCGGCAAGCTTTGCAGCAGCACTTTACAATATACTCCCCGCAATCACCTTCATATTAGCCGTTGTACTCAGGTGATATATCAGTATTTGGATTATATATTGCATGTACATCGAAAATTCCACTTAGATTTATATTTTAGGGTAAATTTCATTAAACTATAATGAATTTAAAAACTACAATAACTTTGTCATCAAAGAAAATTATATATGTCATTAATTAACTTTATTCAATAAACTGTCATACCTGATGGCACCAGTTAGGATAAGTTGTCACGTGTTTCACATGTTACATGTATAAGTTGTCATGTGTTTCGCACGCCACATGTATGAATGGTCATGGGTTTCACACTTGTATACTTCATATCTCTTGTCACGATTAGTAAACTTCTCACAACTTTAATTTTGTCGGATTAGGATGGAGAAAATCAAGATCAAGAGTCTTCGCTCCCAAGCAAAGGTCGTGGGAACCTTTGTGACTGTGGCCGGTGCGTTGCTTATGATATTGTACAAAGGTCCGGTGGTTGAGTTTGTGTGGACCAAGGGCAGGCCCCATCACAACGAAAATGGTGGGAGTCCAGACGAGAGTAGTCATTGGCTCATGGGGACCATCTTGCTTCTCATTAGTTGCTTGTGTTGGGCTTGTTTCTTCATATTACAAGTAGTTTATTTGCCTAATCGATCCAATTGCTAGCTTATGAGTTTTTTTTCAGTCGTAATGTTTATTGGGTTATTCTAAATACGTTTTACTCGTGACAGGCGAATACACTGAGATCATACCCCGCGGAGTTGTCCTTAACAACCTTGATATGCTCCATGGGCGCCGTGGAGAGCAGTGCAATTGCGCTTGTCATGGAACGTAGTATGCAACCGTGGATTATTGGATGGGATGCAAGACTTTTCACTGCTGTTTATTCGGTAATTACCAAATATATATAGGGTGTACGTACGCATTGATATATTTTTTAAAAAATTTCTTAACATATATAGTTCATTTTGCCGAACAGGTACGTGCATCTGACTCATGTCATACGTGAGCAAAAAATATTGTGTCCATTAATTGTTATAGTCAAATTGACTAATGGATCCTTTATTTATAATTATCTCTTTTCTTTTCCTTTTGTTTTTGGGAGGGGGAAGTATATATATATATAATTGATGATTTCAATTACCTTTGTGAATGCAGGGAGTTGTGTGCTCGGGGATAGCTTACTATGTACAAGGCATTGTCATGAAGGAGAGAGGTCCAGTCTTCGTCACAGCGTTCAATCCTATGTGCATGATCATTGTGGCTGTCATGGGCTCAATTATTCTAGCCGAGGATATCACACTGGGAACGTACATATTCGAAAACCCCTAGCAGAGCTTCTGACTGACTTAACTTTTGATGTCCAAGTCCGAATGCTAACTGAGTTAATTTGTTCATGACTCTTGTAGGGTAATCGGTGCGGCGATCATAGTTATCGGACTTTATTCATTGATATGGGGTAAGAGCAGGGATCACCTGAACCAGTCGGAGGAGAACGATGAGAAGAATTCGGGGATGAAGCTTCCTATTGCCGCCACCGCCGCCGCCGCCGGTGTGGAGATACCGGTGGTGATCACAAATTAGGAACTGATACCATGTTTTGGTTGCATGGAAAGCAAGAGAGTGTGGGAGTATTGATGAGCACATAGGATATATAGAAGCTCTTGTTTTCTTAGTGTGTATCCATTATCTTTTAAGACTAAGCTCAATTTGTTTTCTCTTCTTCTTTTCAATTTCACATGTGTGTAGCTGATTAGTTAGGCATTAATGGGATGCATGGAATTGAAGGGGCACACACTTACCGAACAAGATGGGGAGGAGGAGTTAGGTGTTAAAAGATCCAGCTTGTTGTTAATGATATATGTAAATTCGCTAATCATGATATAATTAAGGTGTTAAAGCTTTGTGGGAAATGTTTATCTATTTATATCTGCCATTTTTTCACCAACTGTGGCCTAAGAGTTTTGTTTACTAATTGCATGGACCTGGGCCTTCGGTTTTAAATAGCTAGCCCAAATCATAATACCCATCTTAATTTCGGCTTTATTATGGGTACCAAATTTGACTAACTTCTCGTGGAATTTAAAGCCCAACATCTGAATACAAAGTTGGACCTAACAACTTTGTCTGCCTTGGTTATTGATAAAAGTAAAAATATATTCTTCTCAGAAGAGAGGATCCAAATTGTCCTCATTAAACATGACATTTAGATTTCGAGCACCAATATTTTTCGTAGCAATCCAAATCTTAGATGTTTTATATTACTCAATCTTGCAAGGTAAATTCACAAATGTGCTAGATTTCAAGCTCTTAAACTGCAAATTACTCAAAGTCCTTCCTCACACGCGTCTCCTCAGCTCTCATCGCAATTAAACTACACTCCAGCGTCGGGGTATTACCGACACTCTATAGAAAAACCCGACTTGTTCCAATTTTTCTTCCAATTACCAATTGCTCATGTAAAACATATAGGCACTCTTGTTATAAATAAGTGAATAAAATTCAATCCAACTCCACTCCAATATTATTCACCAAAGTCAACGCTAAAATCTTCGTAGTTGATCTTCAGCTTTTTTTTCTTTGGAGGATTCTTTTTAAGCATCCGGCGGGCCTTTGTTCCAACACTTCAGTAAGTTTTTCGACAGATCTCGATCTAATTTCTTCCAAATTAATATACAGAGAGGATTTTATTTTTGGTGTGAATTCAGAAGGTAAAATGAAAGAAAAAAAAATCCTAAAAGTTTTTATTTTTTTTCATCTTTGTACATATAGAAATTTTCTAGATCATTTTGCTTAATTTCAGCGAAAGTTCTGTCCTTGCTAGTATAACTATGTGTCGGATCACAAATTATGCTCCTCTGTTTTATGTTTCTATTCTTTTTCCTTTTTTGTTAGAAAAACATTACCAGAAATAAAAACGCTATATTTCTTCGTGATTTATTTGAACTATATGGAGATTAGGCGGTTTCATATTCTGACTCATTTGCTTCTCATCTAGATGCACAACCAAACTCGCGTGTGAGAAAATATCCGTACCCGTATCACTAAATAACCGATAGAATATAGTTATATATATGATTTTATCTGTGAAATATCCGCATCCGTAACTTAAATATCCAAATATATGTTAATCATACAATTGCAATTGTTTTAATACTTAGATTAATGTGTAGAAACCGGCGTCGAATTGTTCAAAGTGTTAAAAACGTGAAAATTCAGCAGCCTGGGTGTGGTTCGTGCCACGCCCAGGTGTGGCAGAATCTGCCCTGTTGTTAGGGGTGTGGTACGTATCACACCCGGATGTGGCAGACTCGTTTTTAGATTCCCACCCTGTTTTGGATTAGGTTTGTTATAAATAGAAACACACGTTTTTAGGGTTAAGAAAGAGAGTTTGAACAAAGAATTTGGGTTCTTTTGAGCACTTTGAGAGGGAGATTATTGTGAGGGAGTGTGAGATCATTAGTTGGGTCATTTTGAGAGTTGTTTGAGACATTGTAACCTGTTGTTTCTCCACCATATAGTGAAATCTCCCCATTCTCTCCCTGTGGACGTAGGCAATTGCCGAACCACGTAAATTTCTATGTTTGTGTGTGATTTTGGTTGTTATTTTGTGAGTTGCACTCGTGTTTGGTTTTGGTTCTTCTCTCATCGCTTGCCGACTCGTTTAGGTTTATTGCGAGCACGCTTCCGCACGGCGCACGACAAGTGGTATCAGAGTTTAGATTTCAGATCTAGGGTTTTGCATTGGGTGGATGAGATTCACTGTTGGAAGCTTGGAAATTGGAGATCTAGGCTTCGGTGGAGATCGCGTTGTGGAGTTGCCATTGGAGATCTCGCTTTCCTCGTGTGGTTAGGAGATTGTGTTGGAATCCTATCTAAAAGTTCAGTTGGGTAATTTCTCAAATCTATCAAAGTTCGAGTCTTTCTTTACAATTGGAGTCAGTTTACAATGGGAGAAGAAGTTGGTGAAAACAGCAAGGCGATGACGAGTACAGTTCATGTTGCACTTTAAAATACGAAGATCAATGTTGTGAAGTGTGACAACAATATCAACTTTGGTTCGTGGATGAGTGATGTGCAAGATGCATTAAATGCTCAAACTTGGGAAGAGACCATCATGGTCCATGAGAGGCCACCGAAGTATGATGAGGCGGTATGGGACAAGATAAACCAAAACGTGTGTGAGGGTAATTAGATCTTGTTTGGAACAATAATTAAAGTATGATGTGATTGGTGTGACGTCTGTGATGAAGATGTGGGAGATTCTCAACAAATATCTTACGAAGAGTGTTGAGAACCGTTTGTACTTGCTACAAAGATTATTCAGATTCCAAATGTCTAGGGGTACCTCACTTGCGGATCATGTGAACAACTACACAAAGTTGTTGTCGGACTTGGCGAATGTTGATGAGAACATAACGGATGAGTACAAAACGATTATTTTATTAGGCTCCTTACCCGATGAGGAGTATGATACATTCGTGCTCACTTTGTTGAACGGTAGATCTTCCATCACCTATAGTGAAGTGACTAATGCATTAATGAATTACGATTTGAGGAGGAAGGACAAAGAGACTTCCAGAGCTAGCACTTCTGGAGAGACCTTGTCGACGAGAGGAAGGAGTCCCTATCCGAGAGGTGGTAATCAAAACAGGTCAAAATCAAGGGACCACTACCAATTAGTGAAGGACCAGTGTGTTTTCTGTAAAGAACAAAGATATTAGAAGAGAAGTTGTCTGAAGCTCAAAGAGAAGGAGAATAGCAAGAAGGAGGGCCCGAAGGCCAATGAGGTAAATGTTGCTAAGAGTGGTAACGATTCTGAAGATTCATGCTTTTCTCTATTGATTACTCCAGAGGTTAACCATACGGATGCATCAGATTGGATGCTAGATTCTGGTGCTACTTATCATGTGACTCCCCGAAGATATTGGTTTGCATCTTTCGAGAAGCTCGATGGGGGCGTGGTAGTCATGAAAATGATCAATCCTGTGGAATTTATGGGATATGTACCGTTAGGATTCGGATGCACGATGGAGTTGTTCGTGAGTTGAATGAAGTGAGATTTGTTACTCAGCTGAAAAAGAATCTTATTTCTGTTGGAGCTTTGGAGGCAAAGGGATTTAATGTGACTTTTGTGAATCTTCTAGTAAAAGTTACTAAGGGATTTTTGATAGTGATGAAGGGAGTCTGTAGTAGGAATCTTTATTATCTGAAGGGGAGCACCGAGATTGGCCAGGTAGCTTTAGCTATTTTAGAGGCAGACACGAGCAGATTTTGGCACTATAGGTTGGGGCACATAGGTGAAAAGGTACTGTAGGCACTGTACAAGTAGGGGCTATTGAGGGGAACCAAGAATATGAAGATTGAATTCTCTGAGCACTGTGTTCTTGGTAAGAAGACGAAGGTGTTCGTGTCGGAAATCGTTTTCTTCATTGTATAACTCATTACAACTTGATCGTTACAATGAGTTCAAAAAATATTGGTCTTTTCATAAGACCTTTACACAATGAAAATAAAAAATTACAATCTCCTCCAAACAAAACACAGAAGCTATTTATTAACTTCTATTTGCGTGGGATCTTCGTCCGTACCGGGGACACATTAGTCCGTAGATCGTCACAGATCAGATCCGGTTGACAGAGTTACTAATCAAAGCTTTTACTTCATGAAGAAAGTAAACACTGAAGTGATAATCCCGACCAAATAAGATTATAACTCTTCTTGAGATTAAGACCAAGCCTAATCTCAAAAAATAGGGTTACGGGACTTCGGATCTCTCGAACTTTCCTTTTTTATGCCGAAGAACTCGCCAAGATCTCTTTCTCCTCTCTGAAATTCGTGGCTGTTGGCTCTGAAATTCAGCAGCACCTCCTCGTCTTGATAATAATTCACCCCTTGTGAATGTGGGCCCTAGGCTTGTATTTATAGGACCTTGGATACGGTTGTTTGGATAAGAATGATTCATTTGGCCATATCTTCAGTTAACAACGGCCTAACCATATTTGGATATGATATCAAGTCATTTAGGATGCTACGGAGTGAACAAATCCCAAGAAATATCAACAAAACCGTCAAAAACGCATTTCGGGTAGTTAGATGTATGACAGACCACAGTGTCCCGCATGGGCGTGGGACAGTCTCCTCTGACTTGGCTTGGGCGTGGGAAAACCAAGGCTATCCTGGCCTGGGCGCAGGACAGCTAAGTTGTCCCGTCCTGGGCGCGGGACAGCCAGGGCTGTCCCGGCTTTGGCCGGGTCAGCTGGCCTTGGCTGAGCTTTTTGGTGCGGCTCGGCTGCCAGGGGGATTCTCCGGGTTGGTCTTGTTCCGTTGTTCCGTCATTTTGCGTACTTTATCATTTTATTGACTTGTACGCTTGGCTAACTTGCTTCATGCTCTCGTTAGCTTCTTTACAGCTTTGGATAATCTCGTTTGGATTTAGAAAATAACGTCCATCATCTTCTCTTTGTCTTGAGCTACGTGTGGATACCTATGAACATTTTTAGATGCATATAGATACCCCCTCCAAAATGTTTTAGACTCATTCTTTTATAGAGGAGTCTGGAATGCTTTGGATCAGATAGGCCCTATTTTCAACCTCTTCAGTATTGTGTAGAGGAGATCGCACAGAAGGACTTATGAATGACTTCAATTCTTGATTTCTTCAGTCTTCAAATCCACTTAGTATTTTGTCGAATATATGAAGTTCTTACGGCGCTATGTTTA